GTTTTACGATTATTAAGAATGTGAAAATGTTTTTGACAAAATTAATAATATTCCAATCGAGACTTATTTTCACGACATCGGTTTAATTACAATCATTTATACTTGTGAAATAGATACTGAATTAGATACTACAAAAAGTTTTAGTGTTACATAAGTTACATAAATTCATAAAATAAATAGATTAATAAACTTACGTTTAATTTAATGTCCAATTACTCATAGATGTAACTAACGAGATCGCACCTATGTACAGTTATCGGATAGAGAGAAGGGCAAGTGTAAGAGGTGGAATTTAAAGCGGGATCGGGAACAGTCTATGTACAGACCGACTTGGTTTCGTGGAGCGTGGAAATCGATTTGTCGTGTTCACGCCCTCGAACAGAAGGGAGACAGAGGATGAATGCAACGGGTAATGGGATGTAGGATTAACCCGGTGAAGAAGGATTGCCCGTTCCTTCCTTTCCGCGAATTACCTTCCTCTACTCGAGGAAAACGCTCCTCGGTAGTCTGGCACTATGGGTTTTCCATGGATGGAAATGTTGCCAACACCACTCTCGCCTTTAAGATCTCCACTCAACTTTTCCTCCGCAGTTTAATCCGCTCGAACAACGTAAATCTGGAACGTTGCAGATGCTCGTCATGGAACACAACGACGACGCGACGAGGATTTTTGATGTCGATGAACGCGATTGAGATGAAGATCACGATATAAATTTGAAATTTTTAGAGATGTCTGTCTGAGATATCTGTTAAAGAGACTGTCTTTGATTTTGCTTGCGAAAATGATACAGATAGCGTTATAGAGGTTAAGAATGAAATTATGATGAGAGACAGAATATATAGTACTTTTTTATTCACTAGGCTAGTAATTATTATTTACTAGATATTATAATTTACTGTACATTAGAATTAAATGTATGATTCGTTGATATATATCTATTTAATTTGATCGATTTATAATATATCAATATTGATTTATAATATATCAAATTAAGAATAAAAATTAAAGATGAGAAATGGTATATGATATTTTTTTACGAAATCTATTAGTGTGGTAATACACGATTTATGTTATATAACTGCCTTAACTTTCATATGTTTATACTAATAAACTTTGAGAGAATCTTATTAGTTGAGAAAAAAGTAACTAGATAAATAGAACAATCTAAAAAAAAATACAGTTTCTTAAATAATAAAAAAATTCTCCTCTACACACTTTCCAAATTATTAATTTCACAATATAGAACAATATTCTAGAGAATAAATTTCTCTTTAATAAATTAATCTCTAAAGAAAATAATATAGTTATTTGTATGCATCGAGTTTCACATACTAGGAAATTTTCTACTTTGGAATTTATATTATTAACGCGAAGTAGTTCACGTAAGTGGCGTTAAGACGCAAATTAGGTGAATTTCGAAAACTCGAGGAATTAATTTAAAGTAGGCGATATTAATTTACGATTACGTTGTAGGTCGATAAGTTTCAGGTATTCGATTAACAGTCAACGTCACCGCTTCTCACAGGAACAATGAATCGAGTGTCTCTCGACTTTTAAAGCCGATATTCCAATATATAAATATCGGTGATTTAGATTCAAAAAGGGTGCAAGCTTCGTATTCTTGGCATAAAACCAGAAATAGTGTGGCCCACTTGCATTCGTTAGCTCGAAGTGGATTTGTCAGCAACTCGAGTTAGCGCGAAAAGATTGCTTTCTTCATTAAAATGTTGAGTGTTCGTCTTATTACCGGCCATCGTTTTCCATCGTAAATGACAGGTAAACGAAAAGAATGAACAATTTTCATATTTTAAAAATTTGTAATTACAAATAAACCACAAAATGACAACATTTTGGACAGTTAAAATAATTGTATATTAATTAAATTAATTTAATTAATATTATTTAATTTATGAACTAAGTAATAAGGTTATTGCGTGAGCGAATAAATTATATTATCGATATCATGCCTCCAATGAGTTTCGAAGGCTTGATGTAAATATATTATGACATAATTTGAAACTGTTAAATATATGTATGTAAAGCAGAATAGGAAATATGTTTCTCGAATTTACGTTTGACATTCACGATATAACAATAATTTTATTATATGCTTTCTTTTAGTTAATCAAAAAGCAATTTTCGAAATATTAATAATCAATCAAATTTTGTGATTGCACGACAAAGACACGAAATAATATTTCGCTGAATTTATTTTTGGATAAAATACTTTTTTTTTTTAATATTATCATTAATAAAAATCAGCTTATAAATTTTCTAAATTATATATAATTATAAAGTATTCATAAATTAGAGATTTTCTGCTCGTTAACTCATTGAATTTATCCGCAAATAAAGCCGCGTTATTTCTCTCACTCTCTCGGGAACGTTATTAAAATTACTTTCCATCTGTCGCATGTAACACTGATATTCGTTGCCATCATTATAAAGCTTTTGATTCTGATGAATTTGTCTGTATTAAAATTAAAGTTAAACGAGATCAAACAGAAGAACAGAAGATTTAAAGAAAGAGAGAAAAAAGTTAGGAATAGCTTTATCGTGAATTTTTTTCCATGTAGACTGAGAATATTCTAGATTTAATATAGTCACGTTTGTATGTCAAGTTAACTCGTGTTAATATCTAGGTTTTTTTAATACAAAGTTCTTGTTTTCTTTACAAAATTTTCAAATCTAGTTGTATCTTTACTTGTTACATTTCTTCCAATTTATATTACAAATTTGAGATTTTATTATCCAAAAATTATTGAAATTAAAAATTAAATAATTTCAAAAAGTTCTGTTAAACAAAATTTGATTTTTTTCTCTTTAAATATTTCTTATATGAATATATACATAGTTATTATGTAAAGATTACAATTATATATTTTGTAAAACAATTATGAAAATAATTGGATATAATTACATTTCTATCTGAATATAAATTTTATTTACAGTACTTATATTTTTACCGATTGCAAAACGAATCTAAATCGAGAAATCTAATCTAATCTAATAAAGTAATGGAAGAATGGTAATGGAAACGCAAATTTGCAAGGAAAATATAAAAGTGACAACTATCGACGACTGTCTACGATATTCTAGTCGAGACGATGTAATCTCATAAACGTCTCGTATCTCGATTACATCGAATAGATTTAATTTGTCACCCTTATTGGACAGCTTGTCAATATTTATCAGCTGTTTCCATTTGTCTTATTGCGTCCTAGAGACGAGCAGGTTCGACATAGATTATCTTTGCTTATCTCTTCCTTATTCTTTTCCCAATTTTATGAAGCATGAATGAAGTTAATTGTCGTCGAAGATTACTTTCATAGTTTATTAATGTTTAATAAGAAACAATCATATAATTGCAACATTAACATTTAATTTTGTTTTATTAAGTTCTAATAAGATAGATCCCATTTTTAAAAAGACAAAAATTAAATTGTATCATTTTTTCTGTTAATGTCTATTGACATCATATCAGACATTAATACTAACTCAATAAAAATAGAATACATTTTCTTTAAAATAAGAACAAAAAGAACACTTCAATCCAAAGTTACAATAAATCAAAATATGCCAATTTTTTCATCAAAAATTCATAATGCAATTCATTTGGTTTGTCAATATGTGAAAAAGTATTCCCCAAAAATCTGACAAATGTTATTGAAGGCTCCTTTCTTTTTAAAATGAGCTCTGATTGGCTATTCTATTCCTATTTTGTCGAAAATAATGATATTTCAAAGATTGACAATTTCTTTTCTTCAAGAATTGCTTGATTCATTTAATTTATCATCGATTAGGAAACAATTCCCAAAAAATTGATGAACGCTATGCTGAGGGCTCTTTTTCCTTTAAAATAAACTCTAAATTGTTACTCTATTTTTATTTTGTCGAAAATTATGGTATTTCAAAGATTGATAATTTTTCTTTCAAAATTTCTAGATAACATTTGGTTTGTCAGCAAGTGGAAAAAAACCTTTATAAAAGTTGTTGATACATATACAGAAAAATAGATTATTTTTCTTTCAAAATGAGTTCAAAAGGACCATTCTATCTAAAGTTATAATAATTATTGGTGTTATATAAAACAGAAAAGATATGGTATGATTATTAATATATGGATTGATTATTAATAACAAAATAAAAAAAATGATTCTTGTCCATAATTTTCATGTTTATCTTACTTTTGTTTATTTATTTTTTTTCTATAATTGATCCTAACTTTAATTTTCAAGGAAAGAAAAGACCAGATATTTTTAAAACCTATATCTAAGAGAATTCCATTTTGCAAAACGATAAAAGCGTCGTTAACCAGCTCGTAGAAATGGAGCCGTGAGAAAAGCATTAGATGTCGATGTAGTAAGTAAATTTCTCCGCAAAAAAATCGAGTAACGTCGAAGTTGCAGGATAATGGCGTTTCGCATGCAGCGGTGGAAACTTTTCCTATAACGAACGAAAATAAAACGATTCGAAAGTTCGGGGGAGAAATTGAAGAAGAAAAAATTTCATGTAACAAAGGAGGGAGAGAGGAAAAGCGTGAAAGAAAATTGTTAAAAAAAATTTTTAAACTTAAAATAGGTTAAATACGGGATTAGAAACATTTTCCATTTTTTAAATAATTAAACTTAAAAGAAATTAAAGCATTTAATTTACAAAATATTTCAAAATCTCTTTCTGTAATTATTAATAAAAAAATAAAAATTCTATAATTATGATAAAATTTACTCGATTTTAAATGAATATTCCATTGTCTTCTATCCATGAAGCGAGACATTTCTGGAAAATTTTTAGCTCTGTTAGTAGGGAAAATGAAGGATTTCAATAATTTTATAAAATTTATTCTCATTAGCAGTGGAATATTTCTATTCTTGATAATACAAAATTCATTTTAAATTTTCAAATTTCTTTCATTCACTTTTCCTCGTACGACAACATTTTATTTAAAAAATCGGTTTCAACCGATATCAGCCTTCTAATCTCCATACTTTTTTTTTAGTTCCAGCAAAAACGACCGGGGAAGTTCTTCTCGGGGAAGTAGACATAGCCGTGCAAGAAGATGGCAGGAATGAAATAACGACGGAAGAATCGTACCCGAAAAAATGCATCGTCGATGAGAATACGTATTCACACGGCCAGACGGTAAGTAAACAGAAATCACGATCACTCCCCATCCCTTTCCTTCTTTCCGCCATTTTATTTATTTTATTTTATTTTATTTTATTTTTTAATCGGCTCTCACAATTATAAGGTACGAACGAATACGTGGAACGATGCCAGAGATTTTTGTTTTCATAGATAGATAGACAGATATATGAAATACCATTTTGATAATGTTTGCGTACATCGAGATTAATGCGCGTGAAATCCAGCAGACGTTTCCGTGTGTCGGGCAAAACGCTTACAACACGTATCGTTCGATAAAGGGGTTTGAAAAATGCACGAGAAATAGAATATTCACCGGATCTATCGCAGTATCATGCGAGACAATTTCAAAACACAAGTATCCAGCGTTTTATTTCATTTTAAAAAGTAAATTTGTATTTTTATATAATTTATCATTTTAAGTTTAAATTAAAATAGACAGAAAATTTTTTTTGGACACTGGAAAAAGGATTGTTTTGTCATTTCTTTGCAACAGGGATTTTTTTTTAATTTTTAATGTTAAAATCTAATAAATTGTACATTTTTTTGTTTTTATAAAATTTTGATATTTTGACGTTTGAATTTGACAGAAATAACAAAAATAAATATATAATTAATTGATAGATACGTACGAGATACATACACGAACGTTAATTAATAATAGAGATCAATAACAATGGGGAATAACCGCGTGAAATCAATGTGCATATGCCAATTAACGCAGTTAACAGTTTCCCGCTTTCGATTGTCTCTCCTAATATTTATTCATTCCTTATCTCTCGCATCCTGTCTATTAATAATCTGATATGAATATTCGTAGATATATATTCTCACATATGCTTTTATTGCTTTAAATAGCACGTGCTTCGAATATGATAACGAATAGACATAGAACAGGAAGAAAATTTCACTCGATACGTTTGAAATAATATAGTACAGATGTATTGGACAATGTTTTGGACAAATTAATAAAAAAAAAAAAAAAAAACAGACGGAATCGAATGTGTATTAAAGATATTCGAAATATGGAATGCTCGAGCGAATTCGGACGAAGTCGGAAAAAGTCGGGTGAGCTCGGAAAAAATCGGGTAAACTCGGGAAAAATCGGACGAATAAATATCGATAATACCGATCGATTCAATTATTTCATTACTACATTATCAGTTCTTTATATTTATTCTTTATTATATTATCATATATTTTCTCTTGTGCTATATTTTTCAGACAATCTGAACAAAAATTCTTTTAAAAATCCAGAAAAATTGATTAATTGATTGATAATTTCAAATATCTATTTCGAGGTTAAATTTATCCATATATAAATATTTTATTCTTTGAATATATAGAAATATTCGATCGTTCTTTCTCAATATTCAATTGCATATTTTCTCTTTTAACAAATATTCTATCCTTTCTATGTAACTGATACGGGCTCTATCCACCATAATTTTCAATCAACCTTTAGTAACTTCCTATCTACCTCAAAGCTAACATTCATCATATTTCTCATACAAATTCTCGATTACCCTCTTTGAATACAAACGAACCTTTGTTTCACTCTGAAGCATAGGTTTCGTGAATAAATCTGTTTCTATGCATCAAATTAACTCAATTAAATTGAATAATTACAACTATAAGATTGAAACGATTTGATTAAACGATATAACAGTTTCAAAAATATCTATATTTGGTCATCTCTCGACCAAAGGTCCATTGCAGAATTACATTTGTACCAAATTTCAGTTCAATTTTGTAATAAAATCGATAAATCTTCGATGTATCGCGTGATATCACAGATTCCAAACAAGTTCCATTTTGTCGATCGCATTATTACGTTACTGGCTACCTTGAGGAATTTTCTCGCAGTGAGACATGCATCTCTGGTGCACGTCGAACAGGCGCGTCACGTTCCAATAATGTTATCGATGTTACCGACCGAACACAGGGATAAACTCGGACGTTAATAACGAACGAATGAACGAACGGAAGGCGATCTCGACAAGGGGCCACTGTGAAAAATGAAATACGTGCAACGAAACGATTATACAGTTCATTGCTATCGTCTCGAAGGTTGGATGCAAGGAATGAATGGCAAAGTCTCGAACAAGGTTCAATTTGTAGACGTATCTTTTCGTTATTGTTACGTGATATCAATACGAAGTGAATTGTTCTGAAATGTTTATTATTTTCATTTTATTTTTTAGCAGTAAGGAAGAATCTTTTTTTGAAAAGATTTTACGTAATAAAATTTGAAACTTATTCTTCATTGAAATTATTTCAATTATTCTTTTGATTCTAAAATATCTATTTTTTTTTTTTAAATCATTTAAAGATACCAGTTTCATCGTATACAAAATAATACGAAAAAAATTTATACGAATAAAATATATATTAATTGTAAAGACAAGATTGAAAAAAACTAATTAACAAGATCGATATTTACAAATATTTCTAGTATTTCTTTCAATAAAGATTGAATACTTCGTAAAAAAAAAAAAAAAAAATTCAAAATCTAACGAAAGCTAGTATTTTCTATATATTTCATTGAAAATTGGTAAAAATGAGAAGAAAAGCGAAGCGTATTAAAAGAGCTCGACGAGTCGACGAAACGTGTCATTAATTACTATACGCTCCTCTCATAACGAAGAAACGTGAATCCGTCGCGACGGCGTCGCCTCTCGAAATTCATTGGAAGTCATCCCGCAGGGCCACCATTAATTAATAATATTAACGCTCGACGTGGCATCGACGAGCAAAAGGACATCTTTCGAAAAGAGAAGAGAAAAAGGGAGAAAAGGGAAAAAGAGAAGAAAAGTAGAAATCGAATGAAAAAAAAAACAAACCGAATGAAATCGAGAAAGATAAAATATTAAAAAGAAAATATAATAATTATTCGAATTAAAAAGGAATCGTAATAATAATATAGAAGAGAAATATAAAATCTAATGAAAAAAGAAAGAAAGAAAAGTGGATGAAATTAAAGCAAAAGCAGAGAATAAGAATAATAATAAAGAAGATTTAAAATTGAAAAAACGCGGGAAATTTAAAAAGATTTTTCTTCTGACAAGCTATTAATTGAATAAATAAAAAACCGTGAAATTTTACAATTAATATTATAAATAAAATTGGGATAAAGTTGTAAAAATAATTGAATTTGAAACAATTCAAGAAAATTCGAAGACAGTCTCGAAAAATTTCGAAACACGTGATCATCTTGTTGTAACAGTTATTACGTTGAATAATAATTATTCGGGGAAAAAATCGAGAAGAATTGTCATCAAAAAAAAAAAAAAATTAACGCAAGTTGAAGCGGCAGAGAAAAAGAAATGAAGAAAAAAATGGAGGGTGAAGAGTCGGAGAAACGCCACGAAATTATTAATTTCACGACGCGACGACTTTCGATCTATTCTCACAGGTGTTGCCCGATAACGCTTCATCCTATTAATTGGACACCTATCTCGAGAGAGGAGTTGTTGTTAGTCGCACAAACTTCTGACGAATGTCAGTGAAATATTTATGACACGTCGAGAACACTTGCGAAAATATAAAATTCGAACGAAGATTATAAATAAAAATTCTACTCTTCAAATTTAAATTTCCAATTTTTTTTTTATCTATTCATCTTTACGAACCAGTATTGTTTATTTAAATCAAAAAAAAAAAAATTTAAACGAAGATTGAAAATTAAAATATTGGAAATTTATATTCTTTTTTCTTTTTTTATTATTTATTCATCTACGAAGAATAATTGTTTATTTCAAAGTTATGTTTATTGCGAGTAAATATGCGCGAAATACGTTAGCGATAGATGAAGATCTTGTTAAATCTTAACAAGCACGTTCGAATAAGCCCTCTTCAACGAATCACCGAAATACACATATATATTTTTTAATATGTGAATAAAAAATTGAACGTAATTATGTATTGTTGCAATATTCTTGGAAGACTAGAATTCTAGAAGAATTCTATTTGAAATGAAAATGATAAAAAGGAAAAAAATAAATTTTCAAACTGTCCTGATTTTCATTTAAACATTTAATTAATTATAATTTATGATTATTCGCTGAAATTACACAATTTTACTTGTAATTTTATTATCGAATGTTGCCAATGGTGCTATTTTATGTTTAAGTTGGTACCTACTTCTTTTCATTCATATGTATTCTCCTGTTAACAATATTCAATCTATTGCTTCAATCTTTTCCCATTTAATTCTAATTTCCTTCGATCCATAATCTCTCTTACTATACGCTTCTATTACAAATATATCTATTACAAATCGTAATATCAATCCTTCTCCATATATCATATTCTCTCTCTCTCTCTTTCTCTCTCCTCTAAAAAGCTCAATCCAAACAACGTATCCAACTATGGGATAGATACGAACCTCCCCTCTCCCCACTCGTTTTCGTCCTCCGCATAATCGTAATAGCGAACGTATGAATTTTCTCGTTCCGTTCCAGATACCGTCGTACGACCCGAACTCTCATTGTATGTGCGTCGCAGGCGAGGTGTATTGTTGGTGGCAGAATTACAATCCGAGCACCGACCCCTCCGCCGGCCCCTCGTTCCTCCCGTCGACCACGATAGAAAGTAATTACACGCCGTCCCTGGAAGGAAGCACGGACGGCGTAGACAGTTTCGAAGCTTCCGGTGATCCAGCGGAGGAGGCATCGCTCGAGCAACAACAGGGATACGGGGAGATTAACGCGACCTATTCCTCGACTACGTCGCAACCGGCCCCTACTACGTGTCTCGTCATGGGTAATGGATCAAGTCGCTCCCCCCCTCCACCTCCTCGCTCCGTTTCTCTCTCCGCGATTCTTCGCCGCGAGATATCGATTCATACGTACGCGGTTAGAAAGCGCGGTGGGAGAGGGGAGGGGGAGATGGGGAGAAGGGAGGGGGAGTGCAATTAGTCTCGCGTCGCGCGGACGGATTTCCCCTATGCGGAAATATAGGGGAAATATCGGGAGGATGTATCGTTGATCGACTCCCCTTTGTGCGACGATTGGTCGGAATAGCAGTGTTCCGACCCTTCGAGGCACACGAGCGATTGCCTGCCGATGTTTTGTACTTAACTGGCTCGTAATCATTATTAGTATTAGATGGGCGGGAAATTTAATTGGAATTGGCGAATTTGCCAGTAATGAAAGATGATTATATTGAAGAAAGGATATAAAATATGTTTTGTTATCGAAATCTTTATTCAGAAAATAGAGGAAACTATACTATTATTGATTAATGAGATATAATCAAAGACTTAGGACAGTAGTAGAAATTATGAATGGACTGGCTATCTATTTTTTCCTGAAAAGAGATGAAAGCAGTGTATCATTCTTAGAATTAGAAGGGAAATTTAATTCGCGTTGCCAATAATAATAATAAATTTTTCAATCGAAATTATAGAAGAACATAATTTGGATTTTTTTATATTGAGGAAATATATTTTGTTATCGAAATCTTCATTCAGAAAATAGAGTAAACTATTTTATTATTGATTAATAGTAAGATAAAACCACTCAAAGACTGTCACTTAATAACACAATAGTAGAAATTACGAATTAGACTATCTATTTTTTCCTGAAAAATACTATTAATTATTTTTTTAATCACAGATGAAGATGAACAAACCATTACAATTATTCTTTATGTATCATTTGTGAACTCGTGACGATACGATCTTCGAATACATATAATCTTCGATTCGAATTTTCAAACACCTGTATGATCCACGAAAAAAAAAAAAAGAAAGGAATCCGTGAAATACCATGTGCAAAATCTGATTACAGGAAGGGAGTATCGCGAGGGCGAGTTACTTCCGCACTCGACCGGCAACTGCATCGAGTGCAGTTGCGGATCCGAGGGCCGCGTCGAGTGCTCGCCGCGGGACTGTGTGGCCCTTCGACCCGAGATACCGGTTGCACCGGGTATACCGGACGCGCCGGATGGCGATTTCGAAGTGTTCAACCTTGCAAGGGACCGAGGGATCGACGAGAGCTTTTAAAGTATCCGATCAAGTAACACGATCGTCGCCTGTTCGAACGAGTGAAACGCGAGCTACGTTTCTAGATCTTTATTCTTTATTCGGCAATTGTCGATCGATATGAATAGTTTGCGCGAATTATTTATTAATATTTAATCTGATTTTTAAAGATCGAATGTGGAGAGTAGAATTTTCGTGAAAATGTGATACGTTTTGTGAAGTATGTAATATGTATGTATATATATATTAAATTTAGTAAGATTGGAAATTTATTCTAACGTGATAATTAAATATTTATTTCATTTAATAATATAAGAACAGTTAGCAATAATTTTTCTAAACGTTTCGAGAGAGACATATCGTGTATATTTAAGCGAATGTTGTATTAAAAAAAAATAATAATAATTTCTTCCCACGATTATTTTCATATCGATCAACAATAATAATAATTTTGATAATTTTAATAAACGCTTATCGAGTTCTCAACCGTGTATAAAATTCTTCCAATCACGAGAAATGGAAACAATTATAGAAACATTTCAACGGGAAAAATATTCCAAATGAATACGATTACACGGTTGAAAAATCTGTAAGTATTAATTAGTTTAATTTATATATATATATATATTCTTCTTATTCGTGTTCTCTCGAGCTTCTTCCCTCCTTTTGTTCCGGATTGAAAGAGTTTCCGGTCGAAAGAGAACTCGTGAAAAAATCGATTATCGATAATGAAACAAAAGAAACCTTAAACGCTTTCTTTTCGCGCACTCGAACGATTAATCGAGGCGTAAATATAAAGAGAGAGAGAGAAAGAGAGAGAGCTCTTAATTGGAAGGAAAATTATTACGTCTATCGATGGGAATCACAACGATGATTAAAAAAAAAAAAAAAAAATGACCAATGATTCTACTTCCACGTGGTGATAATTATTATTAGATTAAATTGAGGCCGAATAACGTATTTATGTTCGATTTAACGATTCAGTAAGATCGATAGTGAGACAGTAATTAAGTCAGGGATGCTCTTCCGGCATTCACGAGCAAATTTGTAATTTATTACCCTATGGGGTTTCTAAACGTTTCATTGGCATGGGCCTAATTTATCAAAAGATGGATCTTGGGCACGATCCATCTTGTATCGATTAATTATTAGGCGAATTCTCATCTAGTCTCTATCACGTTATAAATTTCATTTCTCTGTATAGATTAATATCGATAACATCGTTATATTATTATCTACGATTTATTATTAACAGATTGCGGATTTTTATGCGGTTAAAATTTAACCAATGTGTGGAGAATTGAAATATTTATTTGAAATATAAATTGCTCGAGAGTTGAAAAGAGACTTCATTCTTTCTTCTATGAATTTATTTTTCAAATTAAATATTTATCTATTTGTACAAATAAAATTAATACGAGAGAAGAAAGTATATTTATTTGTATAATTTATATAATTTGCGTAAAAATCAGCAGTCTAATTATCACGTAAAAAAAAAAATCTCGAAAGAATGTTCCTCAGCGCCACGAAAGTACCAAACGATAGATCGATAAGTATTAGATTGTACTTGTTCCATAAAAATTTTCGCTTATTTCGAACATTTATATTTTCTTTAAATTCAAAAAGTATTTTTTTTTAGGTTCCAAAGTCGTGACTCGCACACTAAGATAGATCCTGAAACGAAATAATTTTTCTAACAAGCGATCTATCTTCATACGAATCCTTGCGACGATCGTCATCGAGTAATGATGTGATCGAGGCAGAATCGAGGACCTTGCAGCAAAAAGAAGGCAAATTTATTTAGAGGAATTAATAACAATTTTAGAGAAATTGCTTATAATTAACTTATGCTAATTAATAGTTATTGATTTCCTAAGTCTTTAAAAACAATTTAAAATTAAAGAAGATCATCGAGCTTCTTAAGTCTGAATATTCTATTCTATGTTAAAATTTACATAAGAATGTTTACTTTTTAATTTTTAAGTAATTAATTGAAATATATTCTTTAACATGTATATATATATATATAAATTTCACATTATACATTAATATTACTCATTGAACGGATATTTTGAAATATGGAAGATAATACAATATTATACAAAACTGATTGACAAATAATGATCATCTCTAGAATTAATTTCTGCATCCAAAAAGATCCTCTGACATCCAACATGCAAATATTTCTGAAAGACAAGAAAATTTTTCAAATCTAGATTAAAATTGTTCTTAGATACTAGATAAGTACTACGTATACTATTTATAATTATAATAAGATTATACATATCCCTTATATATTACTACTTATTACTTACGCGAAATTAACTAAAAAATTATCAATGGATCCGCCTTCCTTTTACCATAAGATCCTCGATTCTTGGCCAATTTGGCCGTAAATTTTCTATCGTAGACAACCCCGTAGATGTTAGCCCGCAGGTTCGAAAATCCCGCGCGCTTTAGTTCTCCAAAAGTAAGTTAGGGAACGTTCACTCGTCTGTCGTGGTTTTTGTACACATTCTCGAACGAGAACGGGGAAAAGATTAATTTCCACGTTCGACGACACAGCGATGAACAAAATATAATTCTGTAGACGTCGGCCTACAAATGTACGAATTAATATTGCCGGGTACCAGGAAAATCGTGGTCGATCCGTTTTAAGAGGTTCCGTTTTAAGAGGAAGCATTGCAGAGCTTGATAGCCCTCGATCCTTGTGCGGTAAGATCGTAGATGGCGCTCGTCTCCTTCATCATATGTATATATATATATATATGACTAGCCGAGACGTAGTCATATCCTGTTCAAAGCCGTTTCGCTTGGCTCTGCGTCATGAATCGTTGCGACGACCACTTCCTGTGCTTCTGCGAGTTATCAACTGTACGAGGTGTTCAGGAAGTTTATTGAGCGATCTGAATTTGGCCTTTATGGATTCCGTGAAACGAATCCCTTTCAGTTGAATATACAAAATATCAATCTTGTCGTTTTAATCCTTGGTCGTAACCAAGGAAGATATACTTTAATAATAGTGGAACTATCAAATCAAATTGACTCGTTTCGTGTTTTCTGCAAAAAAATGGAATAAAAATATCTTTTGGCAAAATCAGATAGAAATAATATTGGAGAGGATTATTTGCATTACTTACTGTTGTTAAAAATTTAGACGAATGATGAGGATCGATTAATACTGATAGAACATTTCGTACATGTATATCATATCACGAGTGAATATAATAAATCATCACTGAAAAGAAAAAAATTAAAGAGTTTTAAGATGAGTCGATTAGCGTAGTAAACGATTAATTAAGTAAGAATTATAATTAGCAAAAGTGAAAAAAAGCATAGAGTGGAGTAAAGTTCTCGAGGATATTCATAATTTCTCTCTTTTTTTCTCCCTTCCTTGCGCAGATCAACAATTTATTAAGTTGTCCTTAAAATTTCTTTTCTTATTATTCACTTTCCTCTATATTTTTTAAAAGCTTCAAGATTCTATTTTTAATAATTATTTAACATTCTATTTTGATTTATTAATAAGAATTAATAAGAGATAAAAAAATTCTTTTGCTGGTTTTCCTTCATTTCAAAACAGAAGAGGATATTTCGTACAGAGGAGAATTAGAAAATTTAAAACATTAATTTAAATGACCTGATCTGTTAAAGTTTGCTGATCATTAAAATCGAGGAGAACTTTGAGACAACCTAATAAAATACGTATATTATCAATTAAAAAACCACTTTATATAAGATAAAAGAAAATTAGAACGATACGAAGCGAAAAAAGTATTTAATAAAAATCGATAACGTGATTTCATCACCTGAATCCGATATTAAATAACCTCCCGATCTATATACCGTATGTACATGTATTGCTCTTAAGAAAAAAAAAAACAAATGGAATCCCGTGTTGTATGGATCAATTATTGATTAATACATACATACATATATATATTCGTATATATACATATAAATACACGTATGTACACGTATCTATATGCATTACACAAGGAACCAAATTATCAAGAGATAATATTATGCGTATTTATGCATATAATATAAATATATATATATACATATATATATATATATATATATATATTTAATTATATATAGAAATAGGATATCCAAGCGTTTCGACATATGCACTTTTGTAGATATATATCCGCCTATCCGTTTTATGGTACGTTTTTCCTGTATAATTGCAGCGTTTCAATAATCGAGCTACGTTTGCGAGAGACGCGGAATTATTTCGAAAAAAGAAAGATAGCTCTGGGTTGTCAGCTACACGCATTCTAATAGCCTATAAATATAAATGTAATATTGGAAGATAGATGGACCACCTGTTTTAAGTACTCTTGACTCGTTATTTTCAGAAAATTAAATAGTTTATTGTAAAAAGATAAGAGAAAAAAATAAACGTTGTAAAAAAATTTTTTATTTTTACAGAAAAATTATTTATTATTTATATGATATAATGAAAGAAAGATTATTTTAATCGAATAAATTTTATTAAAGCAATGATAAAAATGGTAAGCAATAATAATGATAATTATTATCATTAAAGACATATCAAGAGAAATGATCCATCTATTTTCAATCTATTTCCATCTATTACCATAAATACCATAAATTACCATTTGATCATGAAGAGAATCTATCTCAGCGTACAAATAATTAATGATCTTATAGTAACACCGATTACGATTACAGAATCAGATACGAAAGAAGCGAAGGGTTGTAATTATACTTTTATGACGAGTTAATTGTTCATAGTTAGTCGCATAGTTAGGTAGAGATCCAATGTGATATATATACATTCAAAAGGTAACTTTGTCTAAAAGTTTTACAATACATATATAGAAGGAGAAACCACGACGTCTTATTGCAAGATTTGCCGTAACTTCTATGAACGTTCGTTCAATTAGATGTATACTATCATAGAATATCGAGCAACGTTTTGAACAATATCGTCGGGTTCGCTTTTTGCAACGATACAAGTTTACTGTCACATACGTACGTATTAATCGTATTTTCGTTGAATGAGCCCGCGTAATTACATCATCATAACACGGCCTGTATACTTATATTATCTTTAATGATAGTCAAAATAGAAAACAGGATGATCTCGAATGTTTATGACTACTGTGGAATAACGATCGAGACTACTATTTTTTAATTGTGTCATTTTTCGAAGAAATCGCGAATAATCGCTATATTATTGTTTCATAACGATCTATTTCCTCAAGATTCAAATATGAAATTGCACAAAAAAAAGGAGAAAAATAAAAAAAAGAATAAATGGGAGAAAAAAATGGGATCATCACGAGATCACGCGGGACCATCATGGCAGTTCGTTTTTCTGTTAATCTTTTTCGTAACGATCTCGTACGTCTTCCAATCATCCCACATACTATACCATTGTATCTGTCTTGTACCCGTGGGATCTCCTGTCTTCTTAAAAAAACGCTAAATAAAGAAAGATCTTATGATACGTGTCAATTTTCTTTCAATTTTTACCTATTGTAATTTTACATTTTATTATTTAACACAAAACTCCGAGAATTTCATACAGAATTTTATTTTTTATTTTCAAACTGTTTCGTTCAGTTAAGTTAAATTATTGATTTCACTTGTTTCATATTAAATTAACTAATTTTTATCAAAATATGTTCGATATCCTATATAATTTTAAGGTTAAAATCTTTCTTGAATGATTAAAATTAATCCGAGATAACTATAGTATATGTTTAAATATGTTAAATATATCATAGAAACAAATGAATAATTTAAAGAAGTATTTATATGTCATTTACGTGTAAAATTTCGTTTTCGATTTCGATCTTGAAAAATATACTCATAATAGGTTGAAAAGATCGCGTATATTTTCAAAAAATGCATATATATAACGTAACAAATAATTTCTAAAATAATAATTCCCAAATAAAATTTATTTATTTATTTTTTTATAACAAACGATCTTTATAACGGCAATATCACAATTAACTCAACAATACAAAACCGATTTTAATATCGATAGTTCGATAGCTAATAATTGAACTCGCAGTGTTTATCACGTGATTTGATTTGTAGCAAACTTTACTTATTTCCGAGAAAAGAATGAATCAAGAATTAAATAATACGAAAAAGATAATGAATAGAAACAAAAAGTGAAATCATCATGAAATCAGGCGTGATCATAAAAAATATATTAATAAGATGTTACATAATAAAAGTATTATAATTATTTATAATAATATAATATATTTATGTATACTAAAATAACAAATAGTTTACAACACGTTTATTGTTTCATTAAACTGATATAGTAAGTGATATAAATATATAAATTTACATATTACATAATCAGTCAAAGAATCAATGATCGCAAACTTCTTTGATGTTCATTTTTTAATGTATTTAATTTTATTCTCAATTGCTACTATATGTAATGCATCTTATATTGAGTTATTGTAGCAATGTATTTAGCGTGAGATGCACGTATGGATGGAATGGATGTATACATATATGTATAATAGAACATCGATGATGCCATATAGTAAAATTGTGTATTAATTATGCATGTAAGATGACTAATTCAAGAAAAACAAAATAATGAATTAAAAGAAGAAGAAAATATATGAATGCAAGAAAAAATATTAAAATCTTGAAATGAATGTAAAATGCGAGTATGAGTTAATCTTTAATAGCAAGCCTAGTAAATAAATCCGTGAGGAAATAAAACGATTTTGGTACTCAAATTTTTTTGAATTTTTCACGAGAAATTTAAATAAAAATAATCCCTATATTATTTTTGTGAGTTTATATTATTTTACATTATAATCACTTTCTCTATTATATTGATACGTTATTTTTTTATTTATTAATCGATTATTAAATATAGTCATATAGATTTTTATTAAATAAAAGTTACATTATTTTTATTAATATATTAAATGTTAATTTTTATTATTATTTTTCATAAGTAAATTCCCTTTGTATATATGTAAATATAAAAATTTATTACATTTGTTCAAAACAATTAGACCTCAACAATTATTAAGAGATATATAATGACAACATAAGTTATATTAGAGTGCGCTACAATCATAGTTAAAAAAGTTTAATTTTTCAAATTTATAAAGAAAGTATAAGTTTTGTTTTGAATAAAAAATATTTCTAAATATTGATAATTTTAAAAACTGATAAAAAGAATGTTAAAGAAAAAAAATACTTCTAATAATACAGATGTATACCGATTTGATATCAATGATATAACCTGATATTAAAGGTTAGATGTCAAACGTTATATATTAGAACATACATATGTTAAAACATTTATTCAATTATATTTATTTCAAGTTATTTTAATTATAATTTTTATAAAATATATATTTTTTTAAAATTTCTATATTTATAAATATAGGGAAACAGCTATTAAGATAATTATGTATGTATATATGAATTCATAATTTCATTTTATAGATATATAAATGAACATATTTCGTTATCTATATTAACAGCTGGCAGATATTAAAAATATAACGTATATAACGTAAATACATAGATATAAAATTTCCGTTTGTTAAGACTGTTATCAACATAATAGATTTTTTATATCATTATGATTCTTCCTGTGAGATAAATAGGAAAGAAAATCTTTGTTTAAATTAACAGATTGAAAATTATTTCAAAGTTATCTACAGAACAGTGCAAATTAGAAGGATGGCAACTGAAGTCATAGAATCACAACCATTTAAGAATTTACAAGAATTATATGATAATGTGGATAATCTAAAACCATGGCCTGATATTAAGAAACTAAGAGAATCAACAGATTATGTGTATAATGGTTCAGAAATAAATATACAAAAGTTGTATTTGGAAAAATTTGATAGACAAGAACAACCAAGAACATTATTATGTCATGATATGAAAGGTGGTTATCTACAAGATAGGTAATATGTATATAAATTATTATGTTTATTATGGTAGAAATATATGTTATTCATATGTTAATATAATTTTCTCTTCAGATTTATAGATGGATCAAAGTCTTATGAGTCTTATTTGTTTTATCATTGGAGTGTTATTGATACATTTGTATACTTTAGCCATTATTTTATTACTATTCCACCTTATGGATGGATTAACGCAGCACATGATCATGGAGTTAAAATTCTTGGTACTGTAATAACTGAAAGAGAAGGTATATGGGATCTTATACTTATATCTCAGGAGGATGTGAGAAAATTTGCAGATGCACTAATAGTTGTTGCAAAATTTTATAAATTTGACGGCTGGTTATTAAACATTGAAAATGTGATTAAAAATGAACAAATCAATAATTTAATTTATTTCGTGAAATATCTAACAGACAATATTCATGAAGCAATAAAAGATTCTGAAATTATATGGTATGATAGTGTGACTAATGAAGGAACATTAAACTGGCAAAATGAACTTAATAATAAAAATATGTAAAATTATTATTTTTATATTTTTATAATTATTTTTAAATAAGTAAAATTATTTTTATAATTATTTCTCTTTTTTATGTTTCAGAGACTTTTTTTTAAATTGCGATGGTATTTATTTGAACTACAATTGGAATAAATCAAAACTAGAAAATAGTTATGCACTTGCAAAAAATCATAACAGAAATGTTCATGATATTTATGTAGGACTAGATGTTTGGGGAAGAGGGTGTCCTGGTGGTGGTGGATTTAATTCAACATATGTAATTATAATATTTTATATTTAAAAGAAATGATTATTTAATATCTAATTATAATAATTTCCAGGCTTTACGAAAAATACGGCAAGAAAAACTTTCGGTCGCAATTTTTGCTCCTGGTTGGACTCATGAATTTTTCGGATCCAAAACATTTCAAGAATTAGAAGATTTATTTTGGGCACAATTGTTTCCTTATTTATATATTCATGTACTTATCTACGAAGAAGAAATATTTAAAACATCATTTTGTCGTGGAAGTGGTAGTTTGTATTATAGCTGTGGTGAGGTATATTAAATATTTAATATTATTTTTAAATATTATTTAATAAACATATTAATGATTATATTATAAAATTAAATGTATTTATTGAACATATTAATATATAAATTTTTTATAGATACAATTAGACATGCGCATTGTAGAAGGTAAAAATATTTGGGAACAAAGATCATTTTATAACTTATCCAAGCAAATGCCACAAATATCTGTACCTACACCACATTTACAATTTACATATATTCCACAACTTCCTGAATCAAAAAATGAAAACGATCGAAATGAGTGTCCAAAACAACCGATACAATATATTTACGAAACAAAGAAAAACGTTATTCGAATATTAGAAAATGTTATAAATATTCAAGACAAAATGCCAATACTTGACATAAATTGCTTCGAATTTTGTAATCAATTTTCTTTCGAAGGTGGTGGTTGTTTAAAATTAATTACGAATGATCTTAGATCGTATCATAGGTAAGAATTTTATGTTTTATAATTAAATTTATGATAATTATTTTAAACTTAATTTATATATAAATAAAGTATAAATTTATAGTTTAAATTATTTATAGATTATTTCTTGTTCATATCGAATTCCAACAAGACATTGAAGCAACTATCATTTATGAAGAAATGATATCTTCTATGACGAACGGAACTCGAAGTGAACCAATTTTAATTTTGGGCAATGATACTGGCTTAAAATCTATTATCCATTATAAATCAGAAAATTTAAACTCAAGATGGAAGAAATGGTAAATTTATAAAATTTAAATTTAAATATTTTAATATAAAATAATAGTTTTAATAAAAGATTATATTGAATTATAAGAAGAAATTAATAATATAATTAGTAATATCATCGTTCAATATAACGAATATCTTAAAATTATTCTTGATTTTCAAGAGTCAATAACTTTAAGACAATTTTATGCTATACCATACTCTTGGGATCTGCCATTCCAAAGTACGATAAACTAGGACTCGAACTTACATCCTTAGATACAAAATACATTCACTACCTCGCGAGATACAAAATAGAATTTCCAACTTAAACCAACAAAGGAGAACTTTAAAATAAACGTATGATGTAATTCGCGAAATTTATTTATGCGTCTTTTAACCGAAGTAATTAATCTCACGAAACAAGAAATCTAAAAATGCTAAATATATGAACTAGCAAGTAAATTCCATATCTCATTTATTGTATTTCATTTATTATATCATAAACATTCAAAAAGTAATGTTCATATCAGCGAATCAATTCCATATTTGTCTAACAGAAAATTTTCTTTTTTGCCGGCAGTGTTTATCTGACGAATATGAGGACTGTGAATGAGATTGGTATATCTTTCGCAAAGAAGAATATCTGTTATCTAGGAGAGATCATTCTCGAACAAAAGGGACATCTGAACTGTAAGTTCGCCACTTCGTAATATATATTATCGCTTGCATTTTCTGCTCTCTCGAGAAATGTAACTATGTATATAACAGGTGGATTGCGTCATGATAAAAATGTATCGCAAAAGAACGAGGTTCTCGACCGTATAAAGAACCGTTCTCCGATTATCAGATCGAGTTGCGTACACCATTTCGTCTTTGAGAACCACTTTAGTGAAAGGAATACCGAAGTTCCATAGAACGCCTATTCAATATAACTTATCGCTCGATATTTCACAGGTCGATTTCGCGATTATGCGATAAAACCATTTCACATTCGATGTTATTAGTATAAAATCATAAAACTAATCTTTTTTTTTTTTTTTTTATTTTTTCGTGATTTAAATTTATACTCAATTTTCACCTGCAATTTCGTGCTTTATTACCGTTATTTGATGTTATTGTCACGATGCAAAAGTGTCTGCATTCCGCGGCCGGTAATTTGTTTGACGGAAGGACGAAAAATGTCCGAGAACCTTCTTGTATGGAGAACGAACGGGGCTATAAGAATGAGGTCACGACATCATAACTTCTACTACTTTTTTCATTCATTAGTCGCATTTCATGCATTATGCGCGGATTATGTTTCGATTCATGATTTCGATTCATCATTTTTGATTGGCACATAAACTCAAAAGATGTTTTAAGACGATTGATAAATTGTTGATTGATAGAAAAATTTTTTTTTTTAATTTCATTTATCATATTTTCTATTTTATAAATACAATGTTCCATAATGTATTCATCTTATAATACACTATAATTCATATTTTTAGCATTTAAATACGTATATAGATACTATGAAATGAAAATATCAAAATCTTATTGAAAATTTTTATCTTGAATTAATTTCTTAAGACTAGTATATATTCTACTTATTAATTAGAATATACTTGTATCTTTCGATCATAAAAATATCATAATCATGTCAAATAGAAAGTTCTTCATGATACAAGCTGCATAAAATATTAAATAACCGCATTAACCTTAAAAAAATTGTGTCACTGTAACAATATATTAGTTTGCTGTGATCAAAAAGTCATCGATAATTTTTGCAATTGACAAGTTGCGTAGTTCAAAATTCATGACAATGCACAACACCCACTTCAAAACGAACGGTAGTTGTAAAGAGGACAATCTGGTTGGGATTATTCGCAATGTATACGTTGATAATGTATACGTGAAATATTTGCAACTGTGGAATGTAATATATTCCATTTATTCCATTTCAATTTTAAATTAGTTATAAATTATTAAAATCATCTTCTTAAAATTCATCATATTAGAAAACTTACAATTTGTTATAATTTATTATTATATTAACACAGTTATAATTTATTTGTTATTTTTCTTCATTGTTTCATTAGGTTAGATTAAATGTACAATAATAGAAATTATTTCAGATTCGCTTTTAAATTGCGCTCAGCATGTGAAAAAGGCAATCGCTTGAAATTCGGCTGTGTAATCGATGCGATCCAATGATTTGTCGGAGCATGGCCCAATACCGTTGAACCGTAACCAACAATCAACAATTTCACTGACTACAGTGATAAAGTTAGCGCCAACAATTTTCAGGCGTGCAACAGTCACTAATGGGGCACCATTCATTACGGACTTCTAGATGTTCTCGAAGCAAACAAGTCATGGGCCGATTGCTCATTTGTTTTAGCAGTCACAGCGCAAATGAGAAACCCAAATTACGTTTTCGAGCTGTTACATGTCGCAACAGGGACTATTTGTAATCGGAGAATGTGGCCAGTTCATTGATATTCCTGCGGTTATCGGGTCGAATTTTTTTGCGGTTCTATACCTGCTGTTACACTTTGCATTATAAGACTTCTTTTCTATTCTTTTTTTCTTTTTCTCTTTCTTTCTTTCACGATGTGTTATTTCACTCGTCAGTTACATCAAGTATATGCGTATATACTTTGCATTGTAATACATACGGTTGCTTTCGATTTGCATGTAACCTTTTCGAGCGCATTGTTTTTCGATTTGCACGTGGGTATCATACTTTTCTACTTACACCATATGTAAGTCATAAGTACTTGAACAGTTTGGTCAACTGGTAACGGTATTTGAATTTAACCAAAATGTACAATAGGTCTAAAGAAAATAACCATAAATTATTTGAAAATTATTATTTTCATTCTTTTTACGAGTCAATTATTACTAATATAAAGTATATACTTTTTTGAATATGTAATTTTAAATAAAATAAAAAATTTATATAAAAGAATAAAATAAAATTTATATTCACAAAATTTTATCCCATAAAAATATTCCATCATAATTTTCCATCCAAATCCTCAATTATCCTCAATCGGATAGTCACGAATTCGAAAAAAATGTCAAACAAATTTGTCCTAAAGCCACAATGTTGGGAGTGAACCGGCGTAAACATAAAATTCATTTCACAAGTGGGACGATAAACGGTACCAAAACGATTGCGCGATCGAATCTATTCGAAAATACGATAAAACATACGGCAAAATAATGGTTCGTTATCTCTATACTAGGTGCTCGCTCGACAACAACTACAATATTTTTTAGGATCCTTGATATGACGTTTAAATTACCTCAAGGATGATCAGATCGTATACGATTTATGAAACGTATAATCAACTATGGCGGGGATCGGCTGTTGTCACGGTCGATAAAGCGAAAGAATGTCGTTTTTGGTCCTTAACGTATCGCATGGATGTTCTTTCGCAACTATTACCATGAGTATCTTCGACGTTTCTTTCATGCTATCGCGGCCGTGTTTACGACAGAAGATCGATGACTCTTCTCCCTTCCGTCATCGTGTCGGCGCATCCTCCACCTTCTATCAGCGTGTAGGAAGCAACAAAGTGGGTGTTGAACTCCGTTAGAAGCGTTTTACGGGAATTACCACAACCTTGAGTGCATTCTTTGAAGAATGCGCTTTCTTCGCGCCCATTCTTTCATACGTGATTTTTCTTTATTCGTGTATTTTGTTTTTTTTTTTT